TACTAGTAGCGTCCTTACTCCTAGTAGCGATGCCCTTTGTTCCTATAGCTTCTTGCTCCTAGTAGCAAGGCCAGGAGCTACTAGTAGCGTCCTTACTCCTACTAGCGATGCGCTGCAAGCAAGCTCGGCCTGAGAAGTGGTGCTCCCACTCGTTCTGTGTGGAGAAGACCACACCCACGGTGCGCAGACCTTCTTGGTGTTCGAGGAACACTTCCTCGTTGTGGTCTTTTGGTAAGCTGGGGTTCGAGTCCCCAAACATGTTGTGGCGAACAGGCGAAGAATTCCTTGCAAGATCCAGCCTTTCGGTTTGGGCTGTTTAATCATGCATTGAAGAACGTTTGAGACAAACACCAGGCATTGAAGCCCAAGAGATGTCTGGGTCAGTGGATTTTGTTGAGGCCTTGAGACCTGGCAGTTGGGCTTGATCTCCTTCGGCCCCGCAGTCGCGCACTGAGGGGGGATGGGTCATAGAAAGGCATGGATGATACTTTCAAGGCAGGCAAGGCCTTGCAAGGCGGCAAGTTGAGAATACGGTCGTTTGTACCATGTTTCATCTCTTTCCTGCCTGGTGCCCTCTGATATTCGATGAAGCAGTCAGAATTCTTGGCAGACCGGGCTTTGTGCCAGCCATTCACCCACCGAAAAGTGTGGTTGAGCTCTGTTAAGCCTGAGAGCTGCAGAAGAAGTGGACATGTCACAAGAGTTGCTACTAGGAGCAAGGAGGCTACTAGGGGCTCCTGGCCTTATTACTAGGAGCAAGAAGCTACTAGGAGCTCCTGGCATCGCTACTAGGAGCAAGGACGGTGTCACTGAGGTTTTAGACTTTGGAAACGTCTATGTCAAGTCCACGGTGGTGAAGTCCTTCTCAGTCTTCAATGACCTTCCACAGGCGAGAACAATCAGCAGACATGGGGAAGCTGGTCAAACTCGCCGGATTCTTTTTGTGAGCTTCAAATCGGATTGCTAGCACACTTAGTGACTGCAAGTACAGCTTCATTTGGTTCAAATACTCTCTTTCCAACCTTTGAATCGCTTCTTGAGAATCGCTGTGCACTCAGACAAACTGGAACCTTCTCCCGCCGGTACCGATAGAGATTTCCAGGCCAAGCCAGCAGTGCACCGCAATCAGCCCCTAGCCATCCCTAGCCCTACTCCACATCTGGCCATGGCTCGCTCCCTCGTCTTGACCGGCGCTGTGCTGCTTTGCTGCGGTGCATTCCTCACGGCCTTTGTGCCGGCCCCTCGCAGCTCCCACGTGTCTGCCCCTGCCGCAAGCACCGGCACCGCAGCAGCTCTGACTGCGGCCACTTTGGTGACACCACAGGCAGCTTTCGCCGATGAGGGCTCTGTCTGGATCCCCGCCCTGTCCGCCATCGGGGCCGGCTTCGCCATTGGTTTGGCTGCCATCGGTTCGGGAATTGGCCAGGGCATTGCATCCGGCCGATGCATTGATGGCATCTCCCGCCAGCCAGAGGTTGCAGATGACCTGCGAGGTGTCCTGCTGTTGTCCTTAGCATTCATGGAGTCCCTGACCATTTATGGCCTCGTGATCGCCCTGGTGCTCCTTTTCGCCAACCCTCTCATCAAGTGAGGTGGTGATCAAGTGAGAGGATGAAGCATTTTGAATCATGCTATCTGGATCTTAAAGAGGTGATTGAAACATTTTGAAACAAACAATAAACCACCAACTGTGTATGCTGTATTCACATGTGTGGACGATTGACTACAAGAGTTCGATTGGAGGTGCAGGTAGCCGAATATCTTTCTTTCTCCGCATATAGATGGAACATTGGAGCGCGAGCTCGAAAGGACGTTTTCGCGCTCACGCCCCCCGGTTTCTCTTGATGGATTCTCCACGACACTGAGTCAGCCGGTGTCGGCAAAGTAGGAATTCCATGGCTTCTTGTTTTTAGTAGTAAGGCACTTGTTACTAGTAGCGATGCACTTTGTTACTACTAGCTTCTTGTTTCTAGTAGTACGGCCAGGAGCCCCTAGTAGCGCCCTTGCTCCTAGTAGTAAGGCCAGGAGCCCCTAGTAGCTTGGCTTGCCTAAGACCTTGGCAGACATTCCATTGCTTTGGCCACAGGCCATTCTGGTGGCCATGCAATATGATGCGGAGGAGTTGAGCCGATCCACCCCAACCTCGCAGGCGTGGCACTGGGAAGTTTGACACGGGCTCGAAACTTGTCAAAGTTGATCAAGTTTGTATTGGGACCAGGGTGGACAAGTTGACAAGGGGTGCATGGTGTCAGGGTGGGCAGTGCTGTACATGTTCCCTTCTTGGTACGCTGAACAGGTGGTGCCCTCTGCACATGCTGCTGGTTTTGATGTCTCAGTGTGCTCTGCCACGCCGCAGAACTTTCAGAGACAGGCGCAGTCTGTCCCCCTAGAGCCAGGGTGTCGCTGTGAGTCTCTGTTGTTTGGGTTGAGATGCTCTAGAAGTCGCTTCGTCAAGATTGACTAGTTCTGATTTAAATGCCGAACTATATAACTGATTAAATTATAGTTGCTTAATGCGGCAGGTGGTCTATACCATCAATGGTATCCACCCCTACAAGTTGCTTGTCAAGGCTGGCAAGGGTTCGTGTATGGAGATAACTTTTTGACAGGAGGCAGTCACAGATCCAGTATGTAGCAATGGAGTGGCATCGGTTGGTGCTAACCGAGCTGTAAGCATTCGGAGTGGCTTTCGTTGTTCCAGCAGACTTCAGACTTGTCAACTCCACATTCATCCTGCAGATGGATCGACCTCATACAAGATGTCTCCTCTTGAATCCCGTGGGTTTGGCGCCGTGCTCGCCTTCGTCGAAGCGTTCGTCGAAGGTGCGAGCAGCCTCGTTCGTCCCAAGGCCACCATCACACCGGTGCAGATCCGCATGTCCCGGGCGGATCTCAACTTCCGCTTCAGCGAGGAGGGAGAGACGACGGAATCACTGCTGTGACGAACGTGTTTGGGGGACGGAAGACTTTGTAGCGTCCAAGGAATTGTCTGATCCATCGGAAGACCTTGATTAGATTGAAGGAATAGAACACGCAATCATTCAGTGCGTTCAGCAGTTTCCGGCACGACGCCCACAAGGACAGCCTTGAAAAGACTTTGTCGGAAAAGCTTCTTGTCTGAAGCGCTCGCAGAGCTTTCGCCAACTGTGCTGGACCCTGCTTTCTTGTCATCCTCTCACCCTGTTCCTTCCTTTTTCAAAGCTGCTCCCCCAAGGGCCTTTTCTTGTAGTGCGGCTCATGCTTGCATTAAAGTATTGTGTCTCCCACCCGGGACACTAGGGGCTCCTGGCATCGCTACTAGGAGCAAGGACGCTACTAGGGGCTCCTGGCCTTACTACTAGGAACAAGAAGCTACTAGAGGCAAAGGGCATCGCTACTAGAAGCAAGGAGTGCCGGCAATCGTCGCTGCGTCGTGAGGCTCATGCTGGACAATCCGGGCAACGCTCCTGCGAAGTTCAGCCACTGAGCCAGCATTGGTCAGTCTGCGTGCCGCACTTTTTTTGTTAAAATGTTTAATCCAAAAGAACGAACATGGAAGGTTTTGCGGGTAGGGAGTAGGAGTAACAATGAGTAAGACTCGTCCGACGGATGGGTTCTGAGGCTTCGTGCGTTCTCGTTCTCTCCACACCTTTCCATTGAACATTGAACATGGGTCAAAGCCCGGGGTGCCCTGGTTGACCACCGACAAATGAACAAATTTCTCTTGGCATCGCTACTAGTAACAAGAAGCTACTAGGGGCTCCTGGCCTTACTACTAGGAGCAAGGACGCTACAAGGGGCTACGTTAAGGATGTCAACCTACCATGGTTTGGTGGGGGAGGTGCCATGACTCTCAGCCGTCGCCTAAGGCTGGCAGGGTGCGAACCAATCCTTCGCCGTCTCACCGGTGAGCGGTGTGATTCCTCGTGGCGGTTCTCAAGGGGTTGAGGCCCAGGATTCACTTGGTGAAGCGTTCACTTGCAAGTGACACCCGGAGAAATGATGTGTGTCCATGTGTGTGTGTTTTCCCATGTGTTCGCGACGTTTGATCATGTTTTGCAATGTTTTCGCCACGGAGATGCTAGAACAGCAGGAGAAGCAGCCATTTTGCGTTCACAAAAGACCTTGGACCTAAGACTTCGGAACAAAGAACGCACATTCATGAAGGTCAAATATTTTTGTGAAGAGAGATTGGAAGCGACACTGTCACACCGTCATATCTGACATGACTTTTCTGGAAAGACTTGATGAGTTCATCCCTATAGCAAAGCTGACGCAGTTCTTGACCTGTGGTTCAAACTAGAGGAACCACGGAGCCAAATCGAAACCGGTGGTTGCAGGTGATTTTCACTCCGCCCAACAGTGGGCAGACAATGGAGGGCTACTTGACCTTGAAGGCCCGAGAAGTTGACCGTGAGGTCAACGTCAGATGAGTTCTTCTTTTCTCCGTCTTTCTGTCAGAATTCATCTCATCGTAGAGTGGCCAAGAGAGAAACCTGAAACTCCGAAGAATCCCTGTGAATTTAAAGTCGAGGCCTCGGGTGCACTTGAGCCTGCTAGGTGGAGGATGGCAACGACCACAGCCTACGCTGTGTCGGGCAAGCCCCTGAAGCGACACTGAACTTTGGCGTGAAGAGGTCGGCTGTGAAACTGCTGGGTACTCTGGGTGCACTATCGGTATTTGAATCTCGTGTGTGTTCCATCACTTTTCGTACCCACTATGCGCGATTTGAACGGACAATTCTCGCATTCTGCAATCTTCTCAAGGAAAGAGCAAGGGTCACAGTGATTTTGCTTGCCCATGCTGCAATGAAAGCCGCCATGTGCATGAGCATCCGGAGATCGGATGAGATCGGGTCATTTGTCACGCTGGCAGGTTAGACCTTGGCGTATTGGCTGTGGGGCTACCAGCAGATCGTTCCATTCCCATTGTGAATGGTGGCAAGAATGTGGCGGTCTATCATGTGTCTCAGTTGCAAGATGGACAGGACAATTATTTTACTTTGCATGAAGTCGCTAGCTCAGTACGTTTTGCTGGAGGGGCTTCAACAAAGTGGCAGATGATTTTGAGGTGGACAGCGTGCCAGACGGGGTTGGCATTTCTCCAATGCGGGGGCGAGTCTTGCCAGAGGGACGGGCTGAGATCGATGTCCACGTGCTTCTTGATAGGCAGGGCCTGGCAGGGCCGCAAATCACATCGATACTTCCACTGCAAAGCACAGCGTAACACTGCCAACTTGAGCGATAGCATATGCGATCGCTTGGTCATGTTTGATCAATGACGAGTTGATAAAGTGACGAACCGTGTCACAGCACCGGTCGCGAACCTGCTAGGCTTGCTAGGACGATCAGAAGCACAACCCAGCAGGATACAGCAGGTTTTTCTTTGCTTTGCTGGCTGTGTATCTTTGAAAGCTGAATGGCCCCCCTAGTGTCATCCCGTGTTGGTGTAGGAAAAGAAGAACGAACGGGAACAAAGAAGTTAGGGCCCCTTTACCAGGGGGAGCAGAAAGCCTTACCTTCCTTTTCTCATCTCGTTTATGTTCTTTTAAGATGACGGCTGGCTCCTGTCTGTCATCGAGCGGAGAGGCCGATGCAGCTGGAGTCTGCAGTGACCCTGAATGTCCGTGGAGGTATCTTGACGTCTGACTGGGCCTGAACTGGGAACTGGATGTTGAGTCAGAACAAAATTCCAATGTAGCAAGTCCCCTCTTCTTGGACCACAGGGCTTTGCCTTGATGGGGTGTGCCCAACCGCCGCCAACGCTAAAGCGCTTGGCCGCCCGGTTTGTGTGTCCAAGGCAAGCCGATTCGATTGCCGATCATGGCAACTGCAGTGAACCCTAACATTGAGTTCATGGAGGTGGGGGAAAGTGATGGTAAGTGATACGTGTCAAGAAGAGAACCCCCACAATCAATGCCGTAAGAGTCTTTTGTTTGGTTCTTCACTTTGGTGCATCAAAGGTGAAGAAGCTTCACGCGGAAGAACAGAAAGAACATGAAAGAACCAAGTGAAAGAAAACATTGATTTGAACTTTGGACACTTCTGGAGCCCTGAAGGATGAAATCGAGTTTGGCCAACTGACACTTGGAGCACAAGGCGACATATGCAGGACGCAAAACCTTGAACTTTGAACCATTCTTGGAAGGGCACCAAGAGCTGCTTTTTGTGCTTCACGCAAGTGGAAGATTTTTACTTGTTTTCCTGAAGCTTTATGCTTGCTGCACCTTTTTACAATATAATGTATTTGTTTCAAATTGCATCAAATTGCTACATTGCAGCTCAGCTTCGAAGGTAGAATGCTACGCACCATTCTCTAAGTCCACAGTAAAGTTGTGGTCATAGTGGAGTTGAACATTTGGTCGTTGGTCTCCGAAATGCAATGTAAACTGAAGGATTGCTATTCGACTGAAGTGCTGTAAACACTGACCGCTGTAGTAACCCCTTGAATGAGGGCCTTTTGAAGTGGCCCAAAACTATTTTCTTAACGTTTTTCTTATTTGATGGACACCATTACCAGTGATCAGCTGCTGTTGATTTCGCAGCGGCCCGAAGTAGTTGTCCCACGACTTCGCGACTTGGGCCAGGTGTCGTCCCCATCTCCTTGAAAAATTCTTCGGCTGTGGAAGGGACGCACTATGCAACTGGCCGAAAGGAGGAGTGGGAGGCTCTAGTTGTCTGAGTAGGTCAAACAAGTATCTTCGTGTGGTGCTGTTATCTTCGCGCGCTTCCGAAATCGAAAGATCTTCCCTGCAAGTTGATGCCCCACAAAAAGATATTCGCTGCGTTTTTTCGAAGACCATCAAGATCTCGTGGTCCATTTGTAAGTCACAACCTACCTCATGAATCATGAAGCTTTTACGAGGAAAACAAGCCGCACACGCACACACACACACACATGCACATAGAACTACATTGCCTAAGAACATGCAGTGCAAAGGCACCGTAGAGATTCATAGATTGCACGGAAGTGCAGCAGTCACAAATCAATACGCATGGACGATCTCCAATTGGGAGAGAATATTTCCTATGCTTACCTCTGAGTTCTGGGAACCTCCGATCAAGTTCAAGCTTACAAAGAAGAATCAAAGCTAAGTTGGATGTGTGATGGATGAAGAGAAACTTTGCAATCCTTTAGTATTAAAGGGGACCAAACACCAGCCTTTTTCCTCTCATATCTCTCATGTGGTTGTAAGCTCGAGTGCTTCTGTGTTTGCAAGAATTCCTTTTCGGCATACTCACGCCACTCCTCGGGTTTTTGATAGATTCCGCTGGCCTTTTGAGGTGCTTGAGGCAGGTTGCAAGAAAATTACCTAATCCTGGTATGTTTTGATATATGAACCCTCACACCACACAAGCCGGATGAAGACATCCAACGCCTCAATGGCTCAATGGCCCAGTCAGTGAGGTCAATCTGCAGCCGTACCCCGAGTTCAGCCTATCCCTCTTGGAAGAGCGGCAAGATACCGAAACTCGGCTGATGGAATCTTCGTTTGTCCATGGAATGCGCCAGTGGGGCTTTGCGTGTTTTGTTTTTTCTTTTTGCCCCTGCCATTTGGCACGCAAGGTCTATGACGCAGATTATGATGCAAACGCCTTGCAGCCGATCTCTTTGCAGCAGTTCTTGGCTCAGATGCGTTGAAGCGGTTGTCAGTGTAGGTGATTGGCAAGACGGTGTTGATTGTTTGTAGGACTCTTCTGTTTTTGTATAAGCGTTGATTGTGAAGAGTTTGCTTTCGAATAATCTGGGTTGGCCGTTTCATCCGATTCCCGAATATCTTGGAGTTTCACTGATGCCTGGTGCTGGTGCGAGGTATCAGCTGGCCATTGGTGGCGTTACAGAGGCCCAAGCTGCACCGTCTGCCACCATCGGCAACAAGACGGCCCTGATGGGTGCAACCCAAAATGCGACACAATTGGTCCCTTGGTGGCAAGGCTTGGAGGCCACTGAAGGCGGGCTTTCCAGGTAACAGAGACTTTGGGCAACATGAGGATCAAGCAAGCTTGCGTGAAGGGTCTTCCTGGATTTTCTTGGACCTGACGAGCTAGAGCTGAATCTTCAGTCTACACCCCCGTTGAGCTTCCAAGCATCCACTTGGCACCCACGCAGAGCCAAGGGCACGCAGAACGAAGACGAAGATGAAGAATCCAACTCCCAAGTCTACAAGATCACCGTCTGAAAACTTAGCCGGACCGAGAGTGGCCACGAAGTTTTGTTCCAATTGTTCTAAGACGACGACGAATCATGTCAATTATACTTATGTCACTGTCTGCCTTTTTTTTGGAGGATGGTCTAGTCTGGCGAGCTCTGCTTCGTTATGTTCATTGCGTATCCTGTACATAGTCTATCTAATACGGTATGATGGGTGTGAATTCTGCTGTGGAAACAAGTTGACCATTGTGATTCTGATACTAGTAGTAACAAGAAGCTGCTAGTAAACAAGTGCATCGCTACTAGTAACAAGTGCCTTACTACTAGTAACAAGAAGCTAGTAGAAACAAGTGCCACGCTAGTAGTAACAGGTGCCTTACTACTAGTAACAAGAAGCTATTAATCTCAGAAACGTTGAGTTTCCCCAAACATCGATCCATTTTGACCCTGCGAAGGGTCCAAGGAAGCTTTCGCCCGAGCCCTTCTGCGTTCAAGGTAGATTCCTCGTTATATATATAACCATATATATATATAGTACACACATATATTGAAACAAAAGAAGATTTATAAAGAAGAGAACCAAACACCTTCCTTTCATCTCCTTTTTATGACAGTTTGTTTGCATCTTCATTTATTTTGAGGTGCAACCCAACTACACGCTCCACATGCAGCTCACCTACAAGCCGACGGACTTGGGCCTCTTGGAGTTGGTCGGCTTCTGGTAGAGCTACGTGAGCTGGGGATTAACCGCGGTGAGCTGGGTGAGCTAGGCAAAGTAGTGAGGAAGAAAACATGCCAATGTCCAAAAAACCATGAAAAACCGGACTGCCGGGTTTGATGCTCTATTCAGCTGAGCATCCTCATCCACATGCCAAGAGGCCCCAAAAACGCATGGCGTCCTGCGGGCCGACGCCTCGTTTCGGAACCTGGATTCGTCTCGTTTCGGACCCTGGATTCGCCTTGTTTCGGAACGCGGGTGAAATGGTCTCCCGAGGCTAGGAAGTGGTTTCTGGGAAGTGGTTTCTGGGAAGTGGTTTCTGGGAAG